TTACACATACATTATCTGTACTAAAAATATATAACCTGACAGACTTGGGTAATGACACTTACAAAGGCCTGTTTACAAGATTAGTCCTTGACTGGCATCTGGCAACTTGTACTTGGGAAATTTTCCTATCCCCACCACTGATAAGTGTGTTTCACTTTGCCTCTGTGTGTATGCAAGCAATATGGTTTAAGCTGAACACCTGCTTTCTAAGTCTGGAATTTGGTTACATGCCAGGCCAAGACTGCCTGTGTGATCAGCTTCCAGAGGGAAAAAAAAAAATACACAACTTGAGCACTGAGTCTCTGGCAATCTCACATGTATTGCTGGGAGAATTAAGCAAATCCTGTGTGACCCACTGGGAGAGGACTCTGGAAACTTGTGCCTGGGTTTCCCTAGACTTCACCCCTTGTGCCTTTGCCTGGTTTTACCTTGTATTCTAGTATTGAGTTCCACTATGCCGGGTCCTTGGGTCCTCCTGCTTAGTCATCAAACCTGGAGGTGGGTTGGGAACTCCCAACACAGTATTTTATTGGTAATTCAGAGAAGATCTGAGAAATGTGTTGTTGGTACTTACATCATTTGTGAGTCAACATCTCAGCACTTTGGAGGACAGAGTAAAGTTATATTTGGTGGTAATGTTCAAACATTTTTCTCGATTCAGTAATTAAGACACTTGAATCTTCAAGTTCATCTAAGAATTGTAGGTTATGGGCTTGCTCCTGTTTTTAAATTTAAAAAATAGATTAGTTCATTAGTTTAATTTGTTTCTTTTTCCTTGAAATGGTCTCTAAATGATTAGCTCTGTGCCCAGTTTAATAAACGTTTGGTTTAATTGAAGAGACCTCCAACAGTATTGAATCCTGCAATATCTAATGCCACATTCTGCTCCTAGTGCACACTCTGAACTGTGCCACTGCAGTTATATGCTTCCAAACATTAATATTCCTTTGACAAAATATGAAGAAATTTCATCTTCAGGATTTTATGCATTATAAGATACTATTAACACAATGAAAAATTGATTTTCAGACTTAACCACATTTAATAATAATGATTTTTAGTATTTATTATGACAGTGAATCTAAACTCAAATATATGTGTACTAACATCTTTAGAAATTAAAAGACATATACCAAAGCAATTCACCATGTTCCCTAAAACAGTTTAAAATCATAAAAATATTCTCAGTTTTTGTACCATAAATTTTATCTACCTTTCACAGGTCCCTAACTAGTTGTAAATTAATTTGCCCTTTTGAAGGTGTTGCCATACCAATTCCCCTATCAATAGTATAGTAGGCTGCCATTTTGACACTTAGAATTGATTCTACTATTACTTAAATTTTAGGCTGCTGTGGGCCAAAACTTGTAGTTACAGGAGGCCACAAGTTCACATCAGAGTGCAAAATGGGATAGGAAATCATTGTTGGTAAATCTGTGTTGCATAGGCAAAAATCAAGATCAATTATGGAGATAACTGAAGATAAGAACCCACACATTCTTAAGCTCTATTGGTCTTCATTTTGGAATATCATGAACAAATTGACAAATTTCTGTATTTCTGAAACTCAAGATGTTATTTTAAAATACAAGTATTTATAAATGAAAATGCTAAAATGTACCTATCATTTTTAGTAAAGCTATAACTTTTTGCCTAATCTTATGAACAAAATCTATATTGCATATTTAGCAAAGACATGATTTAAAATATATTCACTAACTAGCAGCAAGAGTAAAAATTTTGTCTGGAATAGTTTCCAGAGAAAATAATCAGATTCAAGCATGTAACAACTCTTTGAGACCTAGATGCTAACAAAAAAGCACCTAGAGAAATTACATAGGATTTTCTTACTTGGGTGCCACTCAGCCCTGGAGTAGCTGCTGGATGTGCACAGCGGCTAGTACTTATGAGATAGCTTGGAAGCCCCTAATAGGAACTTTCAAAGAATACGTGTGTTAGACCAGCATGACCTCTGGTCCAGCATTTGGCTACAACTAGATCAGTATAGAAGCTGGAAGCATTTAGAACGCTTTATAGCCATGTGACATAACATAGTATCCAAATATGTAATCATTTTTCCAGTAATTCATTGCTACTGTATTTTACAGAAGTATTGTTATATGATGGATTGAATTTTTCTAATGGCTCTTCACCACAAATAGTTTAGGGTTATTTGTTTAAAAATCAGTATCTTGGACCCCAACATAAATCAGTGGAATCCAAATCTCTGGGAATGGGGACAAGTCCCAGAAAACAGCATTTTAGCAAGCTCTTCAGCTCATTCTTTTTCATGGTGAAGCTTTAGAACTGCCTTCAGAAGAGAGTCCACAGTGTGACTAGCATACATCTCAAGTACGGAATACCACCCCCCACACAAACATTTATGATTCAATTTAGAGTTTTTTGACTTTGGTATGAAAGTGATAGGCATTTAGTAGAAACCTTACTTCTAGTTTTGAATTGGGAGTCCTGTTTTTTACTTTTAGTGTGCAATAAATTCAATAAATTACATGAGCTATTCAGCACTATGCTATGCAATAAACTTTGTATTAGATGATTTTGTCCAACTGTAGATTAATGTCAGTGTTCCGAGCACGTTTAAGATAGGCTAGGCTAAGTGATATGTTCAGTGGATTAGGTGTATTAAATTTCTTTTCAACTACAATATTTTCAACTTAAGGTGGTAAAGAGAGGAAGATCTGTCTAACGTTCACTTTTGAAAGCCATCCACTTTAAGAGCCAGAGTTGCAAAGGTAACAAGTTCGGCTGAATTAACAATGGTCCCCATGGGTGAGATTATATTATTGACTCACACCAGGAAACAGAAATCTGTGGTTTCCAGATACAGTTTCACCCCTAGTTTAGAAGATGCCTTTGTGAAAGACACTTGTAAGCCTTTTCACTGCCCTCTGCAGGAAAATTGTTGTAATCTCTACACTGGTGGATGATGTGTTGAGTGTGAACGATGTCTCAGACCCTTTGATGTGGTTCCAGCAGTACCCACACAGCCACACACCATGCCCAGAAGGTAGGGGGAGCTACTGGGGCCTTGTGCAAGGATTCCTTCCCCTGCCCCTGATTAGCAAACACACTGAAGCCTCCTCAGCACCATAGAATGTACAGGCCTGTACATTCATTGGCAGAGAACACACACACCAAGCGGGTTTTTGTTTGCTATAGGATAAAAAGACTAGGAATAAAACAAAGAATTTAATTCTACCTGAGCACATGGGTTTTTCATTCATCTTGTCAATTCCATATAAATGATTTTATGTGGGGCCTCCCAGGTGGCACAGTGGTTGAGCACTGGGCTGCGAAGTGCACGCAGCCTCTGAAGCACCGGCTCGATCCCCAGCCGCTGGTGAGGGTCCCACATGGCGCAACAGACCTCTTCTGCCATGCCCACTGCTCCCCTCAGCAGTGTATTTCGTCAGTCTGCCTGTTCTGTTCCCTGCTCTGGCTCTGGTGAATCCTCTCACCCTCCCGCGCTTCTGACTGTACCCAGTGCTTGTATAAATAAATCTTTAAAAAAAAGAAGAGTTACATGCACCTCAACATTTAAAATAAATAAATAAATAGGTAGATAGATAAATAAATAAATGATTTTATGTAGAAGAGAAAAATATCCATCAATATTAGTAAGTGCTTATCAGAAGGAGGGAGACTTCTCTATTCCATCCTTGCATGTTCTGATGCTGGTGCCCACTTCCCTGGGAGACTACAGGAGGAAAGGCCTGGTCCTTAGGGAGTCTTTTCTTGGCTACCTGAATCGCAGTCACTTGCAGCTGACCCAAGCAAGAGGCCACTGCAGGGCAGTTTTAAGTCAGCCATGGAAGAGGAAGAGGAAACTGGTAGAACTGGGAGGAAAAGGAGAAGAATTGAGCATAACTCGAGGTTTTGAACAATTTCACTCCATGAATGTGAGCTGAATCTTGTCCTCTTTGTTAAGACCGTGCTTTACCTTCAGGCACGATAATGTGTCATTGTTCTAAAGTCACAACTTCAGCCTCCTAAACAGGATATCAGTGATGTCTCTGGAGCACCCCTTCTCCTGTTTCCTTCTACCCTTTGTCTCCCTGGAGCTCCTTCAGGTTTAAAGCTCCCCATGCAACCTTTCTGTAACCCCCAGGCACAATGAGCCCCCCCACCTCCTGTCTTCTCTCCCAGTGTCCATCATGCAAGACTTCCTCTGGTTTGGTGAATTTTTATGCTGTAAACAGGTCTGATGAATTAGAAATGATTGTTCTCTGCAGACAAATATTGCCTACAATAGGAGCTGTGTCCCTTTCGTTAAAGGGATAAATAAATATATATGTTTAATACATACATTTAATATATGTTTAAAGTGTGTTAACAAAGATGTTGGCAGTGAGAGGAAAAGAAATCCTTTCAGCTGAGATCAAGAATTAGATTTGTTCAATCATGACTCGGTTTTATAGCTCTCTATTTGAAATGGAATGGAGAGAGGGAAGCAGGGGAGGAGGGATGGAAGTGGGGGAGAAAACTTTAATACTGAAAGTTCCAGGGAGAAAAACAATTTTGTTAACATAAATCTTAAACTGTATCCTCAACTCTATCTCCAGCAACTATTTTTATGATTCATTTGTAATCACGCAGCTATTTTATAATCAATTTTTTATAACGTGTTTTTGGGAACATAACAGTCCTCATGCAAATCAGATGAGGCCTGTGTGCAGAATGTGATACATGATATTCTAAAGTGGGGATGCAAATCTGCTGCTCACTCGATTGCAGGCTCCTTAGGCTCCATAGCTTTGTCTTTCCATCCCTCATTCCTGGGCCCACAGTATCAATTGAATGAATACAACAGATGAACATGCCCTCACACCCTGAAGTCATAGCACTGCAAATCTGAAGATAACAAGAAAACAAATACAATGCAGGTGTCACTTGCCATGATTATTTGCTACCCCAGGCCAAAAAGTTTTATCCTAGTGCTTGGAGGTATTCATTGGACTCTCATTCACTTTTCTTGTCAGGGATCCTCATCATGATGTCCATGTGCAGCGAGGTGCATGTGTATGAATATCTCCCATCCGTCCGGCAGACAGAGCTCTGCCATTACCATGAGCTGTATTACGACGCGGCCTGCACGCTGGGCGCCTACCACCCACTGCTCTATGAGAAGCTCCTGGTGCAGCGTCTGAACACAGGTGCCCAGGGGGACCTGCACCGCAAGGGGAAGGTGGTCCTGCCTGGCCTCCGAGCCGTGCACTGCCCTGCACCCAAGCCTGCTGTGCCACACTCCTGAAAAGGGACTCTTGGGAATCAATGTGCAATAAGGTACTACTGTTGTACTCTAAGTCACGAGGAATACTTGAAGATATATTTTAGGCAATGTAGTATTGAGTGTCTAAACTGTAATTTAGTGGCGACCGCAAGAATTCTTCTCTTTCTAAGCCATTAAGTATTTATTACTGTTTTGAATTTACAAATGAAATTCAAAGAGATGAACGCTCAAGAAAGGTGCAAAAAACAGATAGAAAAAAACAAGTGTTTAACAGATGGATGCTATAACTCCAAAAATGTTACCCTTTTCTTATGCCATGGGCACCCCATTTCAGGACTGGCTTCTGTTACAGGTTTCAATGACATACTTCATTTTGTGAAAGAGTTTATACCCAGGAACATTCCCATCGAACTATGGTATCAACAGCATCTGCGTCACTTGTACGTGCATCCATCATTAAATAGCCTAGTATTTTGACAAACGACTGAATTACCATTCAGATATGTTTATTCTAACAGCAAGAATCCCAAGTACAAATTAGAAGGTGCATGTGTTTCCAAACCATTACATCCCTCAGCTGTGCTTCCCATTGCTTGCTAAATGTTTTGCATATCAGGACCAATTTCTAAAATTGTACAGTATCCATCTTGAGCAGCCTAAGGAAAAGCCAACCCCAGAACAGCACCACTTTGTTTTCCTGCAGTATGTCCTAACTCAACCAGGAATGTAGTAGCCACCAGATGGAAGGGCCATCACTGGCAAGTAAATACTGTCACGGGGCTGAAGGATGGCCCTGGACTTTGCCACCTTGTGACTCCTCCCCTGCCAGTCCTCCCTGAAGGCCTTTCATAGTTACTTGCATAAACAGTTGGACACCTATGGGGCATGGCACCTCCCAATCCAGAGGAATGTTTGGGGAGCAGTTATTCTGTATTTCTGGGAATGCACTATTGGGAACCCGAAAGGGTTGTATTGGATTTTCACTAATTCTTGCTATGGACAGACATTTAAGAGTCCCGATCTTTTTTTCACAGCTATGTTTTATGTCAGCAACATATTAAAGCCATATAATTAAATAAAATTGTGTGACAACATTCCCCTTAACAACAAGGAAACTATGTATATACTTCAGAGGGAAAGGCAGCTAGAGGGAAAAATTGTCATTCCAGGGTGTTAACTTTATTCAGTATTATTTATTTATTTTTTAATCTCTACTTTTGTCACTGATACATTGGGAAAAATTTTTTTTGCTATGAACATAGTGAAAGAGAAACATTTTGAAATACCTTAATTACATGTCCTACAATTTCAAGAGATCACCAAATCATATTTCAGTGGTGCAGTTAGGATTTCTTGACAATGAAAATGGTGGCTTAATTAGACACATTCTCCTTGGCAGGTGTGCGAACGCCAGGAGAGTCTAGTGGAAAGCTTTTTTTTTTGCTCTAGGATTGTTTTTTTCCCCAAAACACTCTTTGAGACCTCTTTCTTGGGCAGGAATTGTTTAGAGAAACTGACAGCTTCCATTTGGTGAGTCTACATCATAGAAGTCAGATTGGGATTAGACATGTCCTGTGGTTTAGTGTAATGGTGAAATATGTGTCACTGCAAAGTCCCAATCATGACAATATCCACTAAGTGCCCATTTTGAGAATTTCGTTTCCATGAAATGGGATGGATAATTTTATCCGACATGTTATCTTATGTCCAAGCAGACATGGTCACTTCACTTTTCTTTCCTTATTCCCTGTTTAGTGAGTAATGAATTCAAATGATTTGGGATGCTGGTGGGGTGAGCAATCCTCCTGCAAGCCATGGTTCTACCTAGACCTTCCAGACTGCCTTCAAATGCCCATGACATTGAACTTCCCTTTTCGTTTTCCTACTGGATTTCCTTGTCAGTGTCTTATCCATGACACCTCCTTAGGTGACATGAGAGCTTGACTAGAGGAAATTTTATTGGGGTCACTGTAAATATTCAAGTTCAAAAGCCCCAGAATATACTTCAAAGATTTTTAATAGCATTTTCTTATAGCACATGTACTTTTTCTTTCAGTCTTACTGAGGTTACAAGAAAGACTGAAGAACATAAAGGAAATTTAATTAAATTTTTTTAATTTATTATGACCTTAGAGACCCTTGAGAATCAGGGTCTGTTAAACATTCAGAAATGTGGTCTATTATGATAGCATAGTCTGGTCATTCTTCTATTTAGAAGTTTCAGTTGTTCAGCCTCTCAAAAACATTAGGCAGTTAGAATTAACATGATGACCACTTTTACTATTAGCCAAGTGATCCTAAGTAGCACTCTTTTGCCAGACATTAAGTCCTAATATTCCACATTTACTGAAATGCAATAAACACATGGCCTTTATTTGGAGTAGTTAACAATAAATGTTGTCCCAATGCATTTACCCCAGCTCTGTCCCTTTCAGAACCTTCCATTCTCTTCTGCAATAGGATGCTGATAAAATCCTTATGGTGCAACCTGAAGCCATTAAGTGGCTCTTTCCTCATTCTCAGGACTTGCAGTAGTCGTATTGCCTCACACTTCAAGATAACTTCACTTGATCTTTTTTTGTTTTTATTGTTGTCATCCTAAATAAATGTTGACCAGGAATGACAACTCACCTTCATCTGGGTTCCCCTTGCTGGCTTCCTCAGTACTTCTAGCAATAGCTGAGCAAGGCGTAGTGTTCTCAAAGTCCCCAGGGAAGTCCAGTGCTGGCCGTGTGTCCCTGGCCTTCCCCACTCAGTCCTTGTGGAGAACTTTGTGTGTAAGATCAAGAGGTAGTCGATTAATAGTTGCATGTAAGCATCATGCAATATGAGGAGTCTGAGTTAAATTGTGACATGTGAGGGCCTCCCCAGTGGCGCAGCAGTTGAGTGCTGGGTTGCGAAGCTACCCACAGCCTCTGCAGCGCCGGTTCGATCCCCGGCTGCTCCCCGGCTACCGGAGGAGGGTCCCACATGGCGCGCAGACCTCTCCTGCCGCCCGCTGCTCCCCTCAGCAGTGTACTTCATCAGTCTCCCTGTTCTGGTCCCTGCTCTGGCTCTGGTGAATTCTCTCACCCTCCCGCGCTTCGAACTGTACCCAGTGCTTGTATAAATAAGTAAAAAATAATAATAATAAAAAAGATTTATTTTAAAAAAATGTGACATGTGAGGGACTTTTGCACATCTTTCAATTTCTGGGTCTTTGATTTCTGCTGGGACACAGGGCTTAAGCCCCCTATAGCCTCCTGTATGTCCTGTGTCCTTTATCTCTCAGCCAGACAATCAATCCTGGACTGTCCAGTAATCATCTGTCATTGTAGCCATAGCATCTGGACAAAGCAATGTTGAAATAAATAATCATTAGCATTTTCTAAATTGGAAAATAAAAGTAACTGTTTAAAGCTACCATGGGATCATACTGTTACATGTTTATGAGCCAGTAAGTTCTGGTGGAACAAATTAATACCTTATGTTGTTGGTTCATCCTTCTGGGCAGTAACACTAATACCCACTGAATTAATCCAGTCCTGTTTGACTCTATTAAGTGGACTCAGTCCCACAAGAGTAATGGCATATGATGGGAGAATTTTTTGTGCACAAATGACATTATTAAAAAGTTTTCTCCAGCCTGTCAGATCAGTACACATGCTTGTTCCAGGCTGGTGGTCTGTGTTACCAGTCCTTTTCCTGCTTAGCTATTGGAGGGCAATAAGAGGGGGAGGGGATTTTCAAGAAATCTGTGATTGAATATATAGGCCAAATAGTCTCTACTATGTTCTTCCATATGATGTTTTGACTTCTTTCTGATATTTTAAAACTCTTACCCAGGGGTTACATGACGAAGGCAGCTACATTTAGAAATGAATTGCTTAGGTAAACTAAGCCTGGGCTCAAACTTGTTTTTAATACTCTAGGTTAATTTCTAGTGTGAAATGATTCTGCATGTTCCTGTCCCTTGGGCATTACTTAGACATTTGGCAAATGAAAGGTATTTCTCTGTCACTTCAAGGAAATGAAGTATATTGATAAGTTCTGATTCTTGTTTTATTAAGTGAGTGAAATGTTTTAGTAAGAAAAACTAATCCAGCATATTCCTCTACAAACTCAGACTAATGGAATTTAAAGAATTAATGACATTGATGTAGTTCTTACTCTGGTTATAAAAAGTGTTTATGTAGATATAGTTATATAATTGTATATATATACGTATCTACATACATGGTTGCTTTATATTGTCTTTTTTCATCAAACTGTATTTCTGAAAACTTTACAATAAATTTTAATTATGCAAACACAGTATCTTTTAAGAGAAGGAAGTGTTATATGTCCTTCTGTTAAAAACAATTTAGTCTTCCTACACAGTCATATTATACATGTCTTTGCTATGTTCAAAAGTTTGGCGAAAATATTTAAAAGGCACCATGAAGGTAGACCTGAAGACTGTATCCTAGATAGAAGCATCATTTAACTCTGAACTTTCATGAAAGTTTATCTGTAATTCATGACTCTTATGAGATTAGGGGAAGAAAAATTTACTGGTTCTGTGGGAAATAGTGTTCTTACTAGGTTGGTTTCAAACAAATTAAATGCATTGGTAATGTTAAAACCTACATTTATGATACCACACATTCTGTTTTACTTTAGATACAATACCAAGTTTTTCCGGTGGAAACCAGTAAACTTTTTTAACAGCTTGGGAATTTTTTTGTATAATAATTTTTAAAATGAAATGTGTACTCTTCAAACTAATTAAGGCTTGAGATTTTGCAGGAATCACATTTTAAAAGTGTTTGTACACATTTTAACACTTGGATATTTTCTATTTTGGTTTTGTATATTTTTATGTATACACAGTGTAAAGATTTTTTCTTGTAAATAAAACATGTTTTCATTTGTCTACAAGTTTCTGTTTTAATTTGTAGATGTTGCACAAATTATTAAGTGGCAAAATAATGAGCCACCCGCAGAAAAAAAGTCGCATAAAGCCAAAACATAATTAGAAGCCCATAAAAGAAGTAACAACAGAATGCCTTCAAACTATGAATGTGGACACAACCTGGGCCTGAAAACTAGAGGTGGGTTGGTTTTCTTCATTCAGTGATTAATCGCCACATGCAGGAGAGTAGCAGTAGCAAAATCAAGCACAAAAGGCATATTTGGGCCTGATGTTGACTTAATAATCCAGCATTTTAATTATTGCCTTGGGAGGCTTTCCCAGCTTGATGGGCCTTTAAGTCTGAGAGGATATAAATAACTTATTAGAGGAAAGCCTAGAGACAATGAAATCACCTACAATGTCACATTGGCTCTGGTATTTTCATACATGCCACATGAAGAGAAAGCCAGTTCCTCAGATGCCTAGAAAGAAATTCCCTGTTATGTGTACATTCCAGTTAGACTGTGAAGGAATCCTTGAAGGGAAACCTTGAGGGAGTTTGACAGGAGGACTGATGTGAGCACAGGGGGAATTCAAAAGATATAAATCACCTGTGACAGCTGTGCTGAATCAGAGAGGACTCCCACCGCCTTCTCTTTACCATCATTTTTCTTTCCCCACAAGATGACTGCTTGCTTCCAGATAATTAAAACGAAGACCTGGCTCTGTGGACCCTAATGAGGAGGGGCCGGAGATGAACACTCAGAGGATGCCTGTTCACGCCACAGAGCAGCTGGGAAGAAGCAGTTCCTGCCTGGAATGCTGAGGTGTGCACACAGGAGACTCCACAGCTGGGAGGCCCAAATGCAAGGCAGGATTGAGACAAAGGCAAAGGAATTATTTTAGGTTTCCATCAAAGAGGTGAGGGAGAGGGCCTCCCCTGTAGAGCAGTGAGTTGAGTGCAGCCCTGTGAGGATGTCTACAGCCTCTGCAGCGCAGGTTCGATTCCTGGCTGGCCAGGGAGATTCCCACATGATGTGGTGGACCTCTCCTGTCACGCCCACTGCTCTCCTCAGCAGTGTATTTTGGTCGTCTGCCTGTTCTTCTCCTTTCTCTCTGGTGAATCCTCTCACCCTCCCACACCTCTGGTCTGTACCCCAGCTCTTGTATAAAAATAAATAAATCTAAAAAAAAAAAAAAAAAAAGAGGTGAGGGAGGAATAAGGAGGCAGGAGTGAGAAACCATATGGGAAATGGAAAGCTAAGTGAGAGGGAATAAAAATAAGTGCCATGGATCTTAGATGCTAGTTGCATGAATGATATTTGGATATTAGTCATTAATTCAGAAACAAAATCACCGTATCATTGAAGAGTTGACACAGCTCCATGACCTGAAGTGCTGTTTTTTGGGGGTTTTTTAAAAGATTTATTTATTTGTTTGTTTGTTTGTGTATTTATTTATTTATTTATTTATACAAGCACTGGGTACAGTCAGAAGCACGGGAGGGTGAGAGAATTCACCAGAGGCAGCGTGGAGAGCAGAGCAGGCAGACTGACAAAGTATACTGCTGAGGGGAGCAGCAGGTGGCAGGAGAGGTCTGCGCGCCATGTGGGATCCTCGCCTGGTGGCCGGAGATCAAACCGGCACTGCAGAGGCTGCGGGCAGCTTCACAACCCAGCACTCAACGGCTGCGCCACCGGGGAGGCCCAAGTGCTGTTTTTAACAAACTCTGGTGCATAAAAACTGACGGAAGAGCACCCTTTTATACTATACCTCTGCTATACCCTCATTGCCCAGAGCAGAAGTTGGCTGGTTCTGGCCTACAGACTATTTTTTTGAAAATAAAGTTTTATTGACACAAAGCCAACGCTCATTTGTTTACATGTTGTATAAGTGCTGCACACAAAGGCAAGGTCGGGTGGTTGTAACAGAGATCTTATAGACTGCAGAGCCTAAAACATTTATTAGTTGGCTCTTTACAGAAAACATTTGCCAATCCCTGATTAAAAATACAGTTTATCAAGAACTGTTTAGGCAAAACTTGTGGTTGATGGTGTACATGTAGTAGTCACAAAACCACATGCTAACGTATATTATTTTATTATCCTCAAGAAATTTGGAGTCAGAGAGGTTAATGTATCAGCCTGCCATCACACAGCCAGGAAATCTCTGTCAGCCTTGCAATCCTTGTCGGACTTCAAAGCCCTGCTCAGATCCATTCTGCTCCAATATTCAAATATTTCAGACCTTAATAAGTTTCAGGTCTCAGCTTTGAAGGATAATTATACTTTGAATATTTTTGGTAATTGTATTTTGAAATTTGTGGAGATTAGCAGAGGACCAGGGCGTTTAAATTTCACTATGTCTCCAGAACACTAAAATGTCAGTCAAGTAACTTTTATTTTGTTACTGCAAGTCAGTTTCTCTCTGTCACAACCCTGTGAAAAGTGTGCCTCTGTTTTTGGCATAGAGAAAGCCAACACAGAGGATTGACATTTCATAAACCCTATTCCCAGTCACTGTCCTAACTAAATTGCATCATGCCAGAAAAACAAACAGTTCTTAAATAATGAGACACCAGATGAGAAACTGATCACAAAAGTCAAAGTAAAAGATAAATCAATGACTTGAGAAAAAAAAAATCTTCTGTTATTGTAGACTTCCTGATACTCTCAAAGGTGGAGGGGAAAAATAGAGTTAGAACATCAGGAGGCCCCTTAGTTATTTTAAAAGCTATGCCACATGAAGAGATTAGGAAGAGGACTTTGAACTGCTCTTAAGGTATAAAACCTGTTTGAGTGAGCACAGGACAGTGGTGACATTAGAGGAAGATATTCAGAGGCCTTTGTGGTTCTTCATGGGCCCCAGTAGATGAAAAGACTGAGGCAACAGCACTGCTTCAAAGGAGGGGAGGGGCTGAGAGACTACTCCCAGAGCTTACCTGAGACTGTGGAGGAGGGGAGCGCTCTTGGGACTATGCAGTTGTCCCTCTCTTTTCCTAATAAACCTGTCCTTTAAAATGTAAAAAAAAAAAAAAAAATGGAGCCAGCAACCAGCTGCCTGAACAACTCTCCTCTAAAATGCTGGTAAATAGCAGGTATGTCTAAGAAATGTCGTTATATGGCACAAAGGAAACGTGGCCACTTGGGCTAACAAGAAGCAGGTTTAATGCATCAGTGCTGACTCAGCAGATTTGCATCCAAAGGCTGAGCCCCATCTGTGGGACATCAGGGGCTTATATACACCTTCAGTTTCTACAAGGTTCCAGGTGGATTTGCATTGGCAGCTGTACATGATCTAATCGGACGTGGCTACATACTGAGAGGTGAGTTGTATAGTTGCATACCAAGGGTGAATAAAGGGTCAGCAGTCATGGGGCCCTCTAGGTCCATCCTGCCTCATTGAAGTATATGATCTAAGATTCATATCAGGGATTAAGTTGCATACCCAGAACTGAGCAAAAGGTTGTTACTCAGGTCCCCAGGCTGCTAATCCCAGCTCACCATGCTTCAGTGTAACTAAATCTCTTTCATCATTAAGCATAATTTCTAACATATCTTTGTTTTCATTTTTTATTAAGGTAATGTTGGTTTACATCATTGTTTGTATTTTGGAAGTATAGGATCCCCCCTTTTGCTGGTGATACCATAGCGCTCCCATCACCAAAGCGCCCACAGTCCACCATCGACTGTGGTTCCCCCCTCCTCATTTTGTTTTCACCACCCCCTCTCTGGATTCCTGTTCTATTGTCAGCTTTCAAGGGTTTTTATATTTGACCTTATATGACCCTTTATTTAGTTTCTCTGTATTCCACATATAAGTGACATATCTGATATTTGTCTTTCTCTTCCTGACATATTACACTTAGCATAATTCCTTCACACTCCATCCATGTTGACATGAATTATCCTTTTTTGCTCACTGAGTAGTAGTCCACTGAGTATGTATGCCACAAGTTCTTGATCCACTCATCTCTTTTTGGGTAATTAGGTTGTTCCCGTAGCTTAATGATTGTACATAGTGCTGCAATGAAAATGGAAGTGTAAGATTCCCTTCAATTTAGTATTTTTAGATTCTTTGGGTAGATATCTAGGAGTAGAATTGCTGGGACATATGACAGATCCATTTTTAATCTTTTGAGAAACCTCCACACTCTTTGCCATAGGTGCTAAACCAGTCTGCGGTCCCACCAGCAGTGTAAGAAGGTCCCCTTTCCTTCATACACTCCCCAGCACTTGTTTCTGGTCATTTTGACATGAGCAGTTCTCATGGGTGTGTGGTGGATCTTACTATGGCTTTGATTTGCATTTCCCTGATGATAAATGATGAATGTTTTTTCGTGTGTCTGTTGACTGTTTATTATGTCCTCTTTGGAGAAGTACCTGTTTGGCTCTTCTGCCTATTTTTTGATTGGGTTATTTGTTTTCTCTTTGTTGAATTGTATGACCTATTTGTAGATTTTGGATATCAGCCCCTTGTCAGATGTATGATGTACAAATATTTTCTCCCATTCAGTAGGGTGTCTTTGTTAGTTATAGACTCTTTCATTGTGCAAAAGTTTTTTAGTTTGCTCTAGTCCCAATTGTTCATATTCTCTTTTGTTTTGCTTGTTGTTGAAGAAAAATCAACAAAGAAACCACTAAAGCTTTATGTCACATCACTAAATTTAATTTCTATCCAGAATCTCCTTCCCAACAAGAGGTAAAAAGTACCATACTTTATCTAACCTAAGCCATCATTAAATATAAGATACACTGATCTTTATGTGTACCATGTTAAAGAGTTTATTCAAATAAATTTAGAAACCTCATTAGATTTATTAAATGATTCATGGATCCACAGCATCACATCCAGGAAGGGAAAAGGCTGTACAAGGCATTGCACAAAATGGAAGGAAAAGTTTTTATAGTTACAGAAAGAGGGCAGGCCAATGTTATTAGCAAAAAAAAAGAAAGTTTATTTCAGGCAAGCCATCTTCCCTTAGAAAATGCC